AATACGCTACTTAAAAATATTATAAAAAAAATATTTCCAGTAATGTCCTTATTCTACATTGTAAGTTTTTTCCCCCATTACTGCCAAGTTTCTCTTTATACTTAATAATCGCATAATAGTAACTGGTATTCCGTAAAAATATTGTATATGAAGAAATATTTTTAATTTAGAAATAGCAATGTAAAGAATGTCTATTAAATTGTTTTTTTTTTTTTTCAAATTGTTGCTATAATATGAAAATATTTTATATATTCAATAAATATCTTCGTAAAATCTGAGGAGCAGCGTTCGATATTCGTACCTCTGGCTACTAACCTTCCCTTCTTCTCTATAAGGCAATATTTATTTCATAATATTTTTCATCTATAAGTATAATAATGATTAATTTTAATTTATCCATTCTTGCCTCTTAGTCATACTTTGTTACTACTCTTTTATTCATTGTACGTGCAATGAAATTTGGTTTATCATGATATTACGTTGTATACGAATGGTTTCGTTGAGCAGATAAGTTGAATAAAAGGACGCTAAAGTATCTTCTATAAAAGAAAAATAATATATTTAATTAGAATTTTTACGAGTATTAATTATGTAGATAAAGTTTCGTATTTACTTTGACAATAATTATACTTTGTAGGGAATAATGATTTTCGATAGAGTATAAGCATATAATTAATAATTATTTAATAAGAAAATATTTTTATTTAAATAATAATTCGAATTGTATAATTCAAATAATATAAACTATTCTGTAAAGTTGAAATATATTAAAAATTAAGAATATTTATGTTATTGTATATAATCTTTTTGACAAATTTCAACACTTATTCTCGATGCTTTTCTAACATTCTTTTCGTCATTTATTACTTTTCATATTTATAATAGAAATTTTTTACTTTTCATTCTTTTAATATAACTTATGGTATTTTCATTCGCAGCATATTACTAGCTTACGAAAATATTTAACATTAGAAAATTTTTGTTAAAAGATTTTTTACAGACGCTCGATAATGAAAAAAAGGGACGTAAAGTATTTTATAAAAATTTTAAAGTTAAAAATTGCTTTAATATATGACTCATCAGAAGCGATTGTTTGATAAGTTCAATAACACGTTAGATGATTATGACATAATCATCTATTTCTATATACCATCTATTCCATCTTAATTATTATTTAATAGTACGCAATGATACATACAAGTAAATGCAGTGCACACACTCACACACCGAACAAAAGTTACTTTAAACTAATCTTCAGCCACTGATTTTTCCTTTCGTACTTAATAATTCTTATTAATTCTACGTTGATTGTTAAATATTCTTAAATATCATGTGATCTTCGTAATAATTTATTATTCCGTAATTCCACAATAATCTTCGTCGTTACAAGTAGAAAAAAAAATTTGTATAAACTCCATTAAGAGAATTTTCGTCCCTCGCCACCGGCACGTTCCACCACTGTCTCATACACCAATGCTTTATCGTGGAAACTTTTCCAACAATCTTTTGAAAAAAAAAAAAAAAAAAAAAAAAAAAAAAAAAAAAAGAAAAAAGTAGAGCAACTAGCCGAGTAGAGCGTCTTTGGCAAACAAAGTGTAAGCAACTCATCAATTTAACATAGCCGAGTCGATTCGCGAGCTTTTCGCGCATTTAATCGTCATTACCGGCCAATTAACTATCTCCAACGACTTTCCGCTCAATATTTATCCGAATGCGAACAAGTGGCTCGCTTTAGTCTGAAACCTCTCGGTGGCTGCACACGTTGTTTGTGTTTCCCCGATTGTTTCCGGGCAAATAGCCGACCTGCACAACTCTATGGCTATATAGTGCGTGTGCATGTACAGAGGCGCGTAAGCACATATATTTCGGACTTGTTTGCATCAAGGACTGAGAACGAAACTTCCAGCATTGTAACGCGCTCCTTTCATTATTATTATTCCTATTGGGTCTTTCCTTCGAGGTTAATACATTAAAAAGGCCTTTTCATGTCGGATCAAACTGGTCAATGTCTTTTATCATTGTAATTTTGAGATTTAATGATGCTTTCAGGGATGCACATTTTGGAGTTAAAATTAAGTTAAAATTGAGTTAAAAACGACTTCGATCGTCGTGCATCATTGTGTTTACATTATTCAATCAAATATTAACGAGTTTATGAATTTGTGGAGGTATATTAGAAAAGAATGTATTTATTTGTATGGAACGACTAATTTCAATATTAACATTCATCGATCGACATTGCCTTTAGTCAAGTTTTATTATTGCTATTGTATATAATACAATTTGAAAAGCTCTGGCTGAATATTTTATAACTATTGCTTTATGCATACACGTGCAAATCGAGCTTGTGCGCGCACACACGTATATACGTAGCTTTACAGGCGCATGTACTTACCTATCCGCATAACTGCACAGCTTTCACTATAAATACTCATAAAGTAACAAAGATATACACAATTTCGCCCCCCCCCCAATAACCATTAATTTGAACTATTGTGCTCCCTATATAACCTTAAATATATAAATTGATAATACGATTTTAATGGTAATTGTATCATATCGAATCTCAGGTTTGACTTTAGTATGTCCACAATACATATAATACACGTAATAAGCCGTATATTCTGAAAATTCATTATAGAAATGTGAGAGTGAGCGAAGGAACGAATGGCTTTAACTTATGCTCAATTCGATTTTGAAGTTTGTGTTTGAAATTTTGATAAGTAAAAATTTATTACGTGCTCGATAAATCAATTTAGTACATTTCAATTATAGAAAAGTGAACAAAAATAATGATCTTCCCGAATAAATTATTCAACGTTTTTTTTTATTCTTTATTTAGTACGCCAAGCACGTATTTATGATTTATAATTTTTAATTCGTCGAATGCATAAATGTTTCGTGAATGAATGCGACGGTCAATCAAACATTGTGCTTACACCTGCATAAAAATGTTAATTAAATTAATTGTACAATTGTCGAATAAACAGAGGGAAGCAATCAAAATCAAAGATTTTTAAATATGTACTTAATTTAATCACAGACACCAATTTAAATAGCAAATATATTATCTCCGACGAAAATTCCTTGATTTTCAACTCATCTTAAAGCGTAGACAATCGATTAAATTACTTTTTTTTTTTTTTTTTTTTTTTTAATACAATTATAAATAACCCATTATGCATTTTTAATCGATCTATATAAAGTATGTTTGATTTAATAATAATTTAGAAAAAGGCTGGAGAAGTTATAAAAAATGTTTGTTTTTCATGACAAAATGCCTCGGTACGTTAAGATCAATTTCATTTTCCTACAAGACAGTCAAATCTTCTATAAATTTTCAATTAGCATTATCAATGTCATTCATAATAATAATCTTTTTTGTTTATTTATAGACGAATGGTTGGATTTAGCGAGCTATCTACGACGTATAGATTGGATGTTTGAGAAAACATAATCTTAGAGGTAATTACATAATTCTGGAGGACTCATAGGTAATTAGTTATACATTGTTATGAATTAAAGTAATTTGCATTTATTTTCAAAACGATCCTAATATAGTTGAAGTAAATGTACTTTCCACGAATATTCGAACAAGAATATATAATTCGGGTGATTCGAGTTAAGAAAGTTTCACAATTGTACTTGATTCTTTAATTGCTTCGAGGCTTGATAATATTGAATGGACAATTATTCTTTAAAATTTAACGTAATGTAAATTACATGAGCGTATATTTATTAATTAAATAATATAATTCTGATAATTTCTAAAGTTTGTTAAAATTGTTGGATATCCGGAAAACTGAATAATGTGTGTTAATATGCTTTGATAGCGAATTTTTGGCACTTGGTGGGAAGATTCCTCTATTGAAGGATTAATAGCTAATGGTGCATAAATAAAATGAAGCACACAATAATAGATGAAAATTAATAAGAAAGTACTTTATCGGCCTTTCACAGGAATTTCAATTTCATATATCAAACGAATGATTACTTTTTTCTTTTGTATTTGAATGATTATTCAAATGGGAATTACAATGAGTATTCTATCCGCGTAAATGTCAAGGATAAGATAGTGCATGAAAGATCATAAATGAAGAAAAAAAGAAGAAAAAAGAAAAACTAGGACGTAGAATTAAAGGCACTTTAATTAATATAAGTGATAAAATTTTTTATTATTCTGTGCGTGAAGATATTGCTATTTCATAAAGAGATAAATTAAACTACGGCTTAAGTTGCGAGAAGACGCGGTTTCCAATTTCGTGTTAACAAGCCATTGCCTTCCGTAAAATGAAACAAACGTAGTTGTGGAAAGCTTCATTATTATTATTATTATTATTATTATTATTATTATTACTTTTTTTTGTTTCGGTCATATTAAAGCACAAATGAAAATTTCCCTCTTAGTTTACGGTAATTGTACTTTTTTTTTAATGCGCCTCATCTTTATAAATGAACAACCCTACATTTTCCATCTGGCTCGGAACTATTTAAAATTAAAATCTCGTTTTCCTAACAAAATTTCGAAAAATTGCAAATTTCGAGACAATAATACAATCTCTAACACGTTTTTCCAGCACGTTCCGTTTATTAAGTTCATTTTCACTCTCGTTTATCGCACTTTGTTTACCATACGTTGCACGCACAACGAGATATTAGAAAACGTCCTTGAAAATAATTGCAAAGAAACTTTCACACTGTCAATACAAAACTAATGTCGAAGAGCACATCACTTTCGCCGAAACCCTTATTCAATTAGCGCGCGATCTCCAAAGATATTAAAAGCTCCATCACCAAAAGCTTGACAAATCGAAGGAAAGAGCTTACACGATTCGTCGACGCAAGCTCTATGAAAATCATTGTTCAATCAGCGAAGTGGAAAATCCGATCTTCGTCACAATCAACAAATGCAATATCGGCTGTCCACTCACGAAGACAAGATACCACCATTGAAACGGGCACATACCGCAATCGATTGCCTTTCCATCAACCATACGAACCTGCGAGCCAGTTGTCGAGACATAGCAAGAGCACCAGCAGCTGGGATGAGATGATTCCGGATCCAAGGGATCTCAGCCTCCCGACGGCAGCCGAGCTCATCTCTCCTCGGTGATCGCGCCCCCGTCCCCCTTTACGGCATGAGTGCGTGACAAGTCCGAAGATGCGATCACACGCTGTGTTCACAAGCTGTAGTCACACGCGATATCCCATGGGACAGTGAGTCTAGGCCAACATGGAACGCCGAGATCGGCGATTCAAGCAAGCGGTCCCGGCCCTCCACCAGCCGGTCATCGCCGAATCTCTTCGACGACGTTCGCACTCAAGGCCCTCCACCACCACCACCACCCCCCACCAGCCGCCGAACACGAGAAGCACTCGCGCTCGCGTCTGGCTAAGCGAAGTAGCGAGGCTCGGCGTTCGATCAGCCGGAGCTCGATCAGCCCGTCGATCGCGCCAGGAACTAAAGGAGCAAGCGCGTGGCGGAATGGCCGAGCGACGTGGCGTACCTCGAACGGAAACCCACCGGCGGAGACTGCGGCAGGAGTCCCAGCCCCAGCCCCCTGAGGTCCCTCGAGCGTGGGATAGAACTAGCTTGAGCGAGATAAAGAGAGAGAGAGAGAGAGAGAGAGAGAGAGAGAGTGAGTGAGTGAGTGAGAGTGAGAGAGAGCGAGCGAGGGAGGCGGCGGAAGGGGCGCAAACCCGGCCCCCACCCCCGGCTAGCTAACGCCGCTATTCCGCTAGCAGAGCTGCCCCTCTACCGACACCGACCGCCCAGTGAGTTTGCGCCGCGAATCCCTCCCACGCGGAGCGCGTCACCCCCTACTCCACCCTCTCTCATCGCTACACCACCACCCGCGCTAAGCCACCGCGCGCCAAAGGTAGGTGTAGCAGCTAGCAAAGGATGGCTTACCTCTGGCCTCCTCGCTCGCTCGGGATATTTTAGTTTTTAGCAGGACAGGACCATTGAAATTCGAAGTTGATGAATGACGGGGCATTTATTTTCCATGCGTCTATATCCCGACATTATCAACATTCCATCAAATTCAATTCGTCCCCTAATGAGAGTTATTAAAAGTTACTACCCCCATTATGAGAGTCGAGGTCAGTTTGTATGCACCTGCTCTAATCAACTACCATTCTTATCGTTCGCCTTAATCTGGCTGATTGCCGAAGCCGAGGAAATGATCATTGAAAGTACGATTTTCCACGTATCGATTACTATTAAAAAAAGGTTATAAATACAAATGCTCGTAGTTTTATAAGCGGCGGTGTTAAGCTGGAATTTGTTCGGATATTGAGGAGGAGCAACTTACCATGTGACAATAATTTTGCTTCGAATCGTACGGGAAAACTTTTTACAATTTTCTCGATTAGTTGCATTAGATTTAAGAGGTAACTGCCGCTGTACGTGGTAGAGGGGCGGGTGGAGGGGCGGTGAAAGGAGATCGCCAAGTAGCCGATCAGCCTCAAAAAGTCATGATACTTTATCTTTGCTTTGAAATTCTACCTGGATCATGCCACTCGAGACTACGAGCGAGTACTCAGGCGAGGGGAAAGTAGCCTATGTAAGCCAGTGTAGTGCCACTTTCTTTCTTCCTCGACTTCTTCTTGGCTGCTGTGCCCAAATATAGCGACGACCGACCCTCTCCGCGTACATCGTACGTGTAAGTATTACGTGTAGCTTTCTTAAACGCATTTCGCCTCTTTACTCGCCATTTCACGTGCTTTGTCTTATTTTCGAGCAGAGCTGCCATTTGAATTACCGGCGCTCTTATCTATAACAGTCCATCATTGTCCAATAATGTGCATTTATCGTGGATCGTTATATTTTAATATTTCATGACACGCGTTTCTATATATTTTCTTTTTGCTATATTCTTGGTCCGACGTTTTGCAGTTATCGTTTATTTAAATTTCTTTTTCTTTTTCTTTCTTTTTTTTTTTTTTTTTTTTTTTTTTTTTTTGTAAAGTATACCCGAGAGTTCGTAACTTTTTATTATTGTACTCGCTCGAGAAGTTCAAACATCATGTTTTTATTCAACATACTTAGGACTCATTTTTAACATTCAATTTACAAAGTTCATTATTAATACCCGGATGAATAACAAATTATTAAATAAATAAATACTTTTTCTATTATAAGCAACAAGCGTATGCGTTATGAAATGCTCAGCATTCCTTTGTGTTATATATATATATATGTATATATATATATATATATATATATATATATATACTTATGTCGGATAAGGAAAAACAAGTTTTATTATGTACAATAGATTGTACAACACTCATTATATGAGATTGGAAGATTAAGTAATTAATATTAAAGAAATTTTATGCTAATTATATATTGATTAGGTATGTTTGCTGTTACTTGAATTCACATACTTTTTTCTCTTTTTCATCATTATATAATATTTTAAAGATACCACTCTGCACATTCCTTTCCTTTACATTACTGCACTTTTTTTAAAACTTTTATATTAATCTTATGCTTACCTAATTTTTTGCTCTTATCTAATTTTTTATTTTTTATTTCATCTCGTTTCAACAAGATTTCCTTTCGTTCTCAGCCATTTTATTTTTGTCATCACTTCATTCTTAATTATATTTTTTGTGCATTGTGTAATTTTTTTTCTCATTATTATCCAAGTTTTCCTTTTTCAGAGCTTTTCTATTTTTGTAGAAAATTAAGTTAACATTATGCTCTCCATTGTACTCATTTAAGATTCGTATATTTTAAGCATTTTCATTGTATGTATTCTTTATTATTCAATTCCCATTGATTTGTTACAATAATTACGCATTAGTTTATATCAAATATTCTTTTATTTTTAATTTCTTTAATCCTTCAATATCTATTGTATTTTTAAGACAATATAATTTTAAAGCCATTTTAGTATTTAAAAATAATTTTTTTTTTCGATTTTAAAACTATTTTCTCTATTTTCTCTTTCCTTCTGTCCGAATCTTGTCTGTACTTTTGCTTTTTCATTATTTCACTCTGACCGACTATGTAATTTACCATATAAATAGAAAAAAATTTTTTTCTAATTTTTTAAAATTTAGGTCATTGCAACTTTATAATCTTATTAATTAAAATTACAATTTTTATATTATTTATACTTACTAATGGTGTAAATTTCTTATTAAGAATACTTTTTATTTCATGTCGCTCTTAGAGCATTATACACAGCAACTTTCCTAATTACTGCTTTCGTAGAACCAATTAGCTTCATCTTTTAAATAAGCTATTTAATACCATCACATAAACAAGTATAACAAATGCTCAATAGTCTTGTAAAATTTAACAAGATTTTTTTGCTTTATAATTTTGAGATTTTATGTATAGAGTTTATTATAAAATAATGTGGTTAATAATGACTGTAACGATAATAAATTATATGTGGAAAATCGAAATACATTCAATGATATATTACATATTTGATGTAGTTATTTCTGTATTTACAATTTTTACTTTTAAAATAAACGTGCACTGCAATTAATGACGTACTGCATTATTATTATATATCGACGAATCTGTATTATTAGATATATTAGTTTCTATACATAAGTTTTCTTATAGTAATCATATCACTTTTCATGCACAAAAATTGTTTAATACATATTCGTTTAAATTATACGATTACTGATAAGAATTCATTATTTTATTATGAACGAATTAATTTTTTTCTAACGAAATTGTTCTCCATATTATTATTCAAATATTATATTTTCTCGTAAATATTAATTAAGCATATCAATTGTTCATTAAATGTTATGTGATGAGAATGGAATGGAAATTAATATAATTATATTATTGCCTTACTTGATTTTTACACACTTCATATACTACATTCATTACTGCATTAACATGCGTCAATATAATGTCAGCAGAACAAATTATAAATGATTAGAAAATAGAAAGATAATTTTTCATATAATTGTCATAATCAACATATTGTTAGTTAATTTTCTTAATAAATAACTAATAGACTTCGAATCCACAAAAGAAGTAAATCAAATCAAATCAAATCATATAATATCGCGACAATTTTACACAGATGAATCAATATAGTTTATCTATTAGAATAAGGTATACAATGTTTAATTATACTATTCATTCGGACTATTATTATAGTTACATATTTATTGTAAAAAGATAATTTCACAAGTATAAATATCGTATACCAATAATATTTTTCAAGATATATATATATATATATATATATATATATATATATATATATTTTTTTTTAAACGAAAAATTAAAATTTAAACAATATTACTATTCATGTATTATAGAACGTAGGTTAGATAAGAGATAATTACATTAATACTAATGAATCGTAATTACAATTACAGCTTGCAATTAAATACTATATTGTCGTATGTTTGATAATTTTACTAAAGTAACGCGTTACTCATTCCCTTAATCAGCTTAGCATTGAAAAATTCTATTCTATTTAATGAAATGGATAATAAGAATGTGATTCTAACGCACATTATGAGAAGAACATAACAAAAGTAAAGAATATCATTCATATATGAGTTTTATTATAAAAATTAGCATCCAGTGATAGATATTTCAAATATAAGTACATACATAAAATATCGGTGTTTAAATTACGATAAATTATATCGATTATGTCTTAATAAATAAAAAAATGGTAGACATGCTTTTTCTGGCTATCGATCTCTTGTAACTAGAAATCAGAATTTATATTAATGTACTATGAATTACAATCATCTGTTGTACAAAAATCGTAAAGCTTATAGTTTTAATATAAGAAAATTTACACAATTCAATAAAGGGTAATATTTTCTAATTAAAAAAAAAAATCATCGATTATTCAATTAACAGCTAATAAAACTTATTAATAAAATAATAAATGTGAAATATTTTTTTAATAACTATGAGACCATTTTATAAATATGACAAAGATATAGTTTGTTACAACACTATTGACAGTACTACAATATATTATTATAAAATAGAACAGAAATTAATACTGCGTAAATTATATTATTATTCGAGGTAAACATTTTATTACTAAAATTAAAAATAAATAAAATAATCATGTAACACTTTAATACATTTTTTAATAAGAGCTTTCATATATAAATGTATAGTATTTAAAATTATGTAAGTAAATAAATAAAAACTAATATATATATATATATATATATATGTTGGTTAAGAAATACGAGATAGAAAGATCGTGTAAGAATAATACGGCACAATCAAAGAAATTGTAAATGACAATCATAAGTGTTCTTTGGATTAAAAATAATATAAATGTATTAAAGTT